CACACACACACACACACACACACACACACACAAATACACACACAGACTCACACAGAGAGAAAGAAAAAGAAAGAAAGGAAGAAATAAATAAAAAAAAGAAAAAGAAAGAAAAAGTGAGAGAGAGATGAAATAAAAAAAGGAAAAAGGGACAGACACAAAAGGAAGGAGAGAGAGAGAGAGAGAGAGAGAGAGAACACATGGGCGGCAAGCCACTCCCACCAGGTCACATGGCCAGCAAGCCACTCCCACAAAGGAGGCCACACCCACAGAATAGGTTCGAAAAAAATTGGAAACCCACCACTGGTTTGAACCTATGATGGATGTCCCTGGGGATACTTATACTCCTGTTCCAACAGACACATATACCCCCAGTCACATGATCACATTGGGTGCTCGGCAGCCAACCCACATTTATCGCTGTTTGCAGCATGTTGTAGTCATGTGACCGCATTTTACGTTTTTGCCAGAAAGCAACTTCTACTTTTCAGTAAAACTAAACCATAGCAAAGTGTCGACTCACTTAAGGACCACTGCAAAAAAGAAAAAAAAAGGTACAAATGGGTGTACTTCCAAAAGAACTAAAGCTTTTTCCCCAAATAAGGAGTTATTTATTATCACCCCATTCCTAAGAGGTCCGTAAAAGGGGCATGCATAAGCGCACCAGCATCCCCACTGTCCCCATTTACTTGTATCCATTTCTTTCGTTCATGTCCATGTTTATATTTATACCTGCTATCTTGTACATGTTTGACAAACTAATAAATACAAATACACTTCTTTCAGTCTCGGGCTTTGACCAGATGGGAAACGATGGCAAACAAACTTCGTCATTTCATGAGTTATGGATAGAAATATCTTATTTACGCCTAGAGATTGATAAGAAAAAAAGAGGAAAAATTATCTATACTTTTACAAAAGATACATCCCTAGAAAGTCGCATGTTCCAAGAGAAAGGGGAAAAAAAACCCTCATTCCATATAGATTCTTCAATAATTAAATTAAGAAACAACTCTAATCAAATTTTTGAATAATTGTCTAAAATAAGCTTGTGGAGATGAGGAAGTTGGTATTAGCCTTTATTAAGGTTGGAGTCCATTGAGATATTTGTGTATCCGTCAGTTTCACACTATTATCACAACATTTTAAATCCGTGCAGCACATCCAAACTCGTATTGCTGTGGGTTTAGGGTCAGTCCTGGAGTTTGTACATATGCGAGGTGTTTCTCTTATGGGAAAATAAGGGTCTAAATTCAAAAGGAGATTTGAATCTTTTCTCAGAGTGGGCATTTTTATTCTCACACATGGTTTCTTTTAGGCCTGATCATGTTACTCCTGTGATTGAACATTTTTCCACGGTACACATATTTATATTATTCCCCCCCACCCCCCATGGTCCTTTTTTCATGGGAAAAGATTTAGAAGGAAAGCTTGGGTCTTACGGTTTTTCTCGTGTGTGGATTCTTTCGTGTTGTGAAAGGTGATTGGTCTGGTTGAAGCTTTTCCCGCAATCTGCACATTTGTAAGGCTTCTCTCCCGTGTGGATTCTTTTGTGCTTGACAAGGTTCGCGTTCTGTGTGAAGCTCTTTCCACATTCTGTGCACTTATACGGTTTTTCTCCTGTGTGGATCCTTTTATGGCAAAGGAAATTACTGTATTTACAGAAACTCTTTCCACAGTCCGTGCACCTGTAGGGTTTCTCCCCCGTGTGGATTCTGACGTGGATTCTGAGACCTGAATGTCCACCGAATTTCTTTCCGCATATCAAGCATATATATGGTTTCTCCCCAGTGTGGGTTCGTTGGTGTCTTGTGAGGCAATCCCTATAGGAAAACCTCTTTCCGCACTCTGTGCATTTATATGGCTTCTCTCCTGTGTGTTTTCTTCGATGTGATGTAAGCCGACTGCTTTTATTAAAACCCTTTCCACACTCCAGGCAGGTATATGGTTTCTCTCCTGTGTGAATCCTTTTATGACAAATAAAGTCACTGCTGCAACTGAAACTCCTTCCACACTCCTTGCACTGGTATGGCTTCTCCCCTGTGTGAATCCGTTGGTGTTGCAAAAGTTTATAGTTCTGATTGAAGCATTTCCCACACTCGGCACATTTATAGGGATTTTCTCCTGTGTGAATTTTCTTATGCTGCAAAAGGCTACCATTGTGACCGAACCGTTTCCCACATATAACGCACCGGTACGGTTTTTCTCCCGTGTGAATCCTTTTATGGCATATAAATTGACTACTCTGATTGAAACTCTTTCCACATTCCGGGCACGTGTAGGGTTTCTCCCCAGTGTGAATTCGTTTATGTTGCAAAAGATTGCTTTTCTGACTGAAACTCTTCCCACACTCCAAGCACCGGTAGGGTTTCTCTCCTGTATGGATCCTCTTGTGTTCCACAAGGTGACAGTTTCGCCTGAAGTTCTTCCCGCACTCCAGGCATTTGAATGGCTTTTCTCCTGTGTGGATCCTCATGTGGCACAGCAGGACACTGTTGTCCCGGAAGCTCTTTCCACACTCCGTACATATGTATGGTTTCTCCTCCGTGTGGCTCCTTATGTGCTTCACCAGATTCGAACGTCCACTGAACTGCCTTCCACATTGCAAGCACGTGTACGGTTTCTCCCCCGTGTGGGATCGTTGGTGTCTCGTAAGGTGACCGCTTTGACTGAATCTTCGCCCACATACCAGGCATACGTATGGCTTCTCCCCTGTGTGTGTCCGTTCATGTATGATCAAGTTTCCTCTCTGAGCAAATGTCTTTTCACACCTCAGACATTCATATGGTTTCTCCCTCGGGGGAATTTTGGGGGGTAAAATAAGTAATTGTTTCCTACTGAAATCCACTCCACACTCATATGGTTTCTCCTCTTTATGGGAAATTATATGACCGCTGAAAGTGAAATTCTCCCCATAATTTATAACTGCATATGGTGTCTCTTGGCTGTACGATGGGTGAGGTAGGGCAAGGTAGGAGGTAGAGCTGATACTTTGCCCATCCTCTTGATATTCATATTGTTCTTCTTCAGTCTGGGTTGCATAATATTTAGTGAAACCAGAGTTCTCTTCGTCTCCTTTGCCACATCTGAGATATTTTCCCTTTTCTTCTCCTTGGTGAACTTCCTGGGTTGGGAGAGAGAGGATGTCATTGGATGCCGGAGATTCCTCCCCTCCGCTCACTTTACAGATTTTCTTAATCCTTTGGGATGGTTCTTGACCAACAAGCATGTCTACTTCAGACTTGATCATTTGATCCCTGTAGTTCTCGTGCTCTTGTCCATAAGCTGATTTGAAGAAAGCAAAAGCCACAAAAAGAAAAAAAAAACAAGTCTCATAAATTGTTCATGAACAAAAAGCGCTGCCAATATTGTTTCTCGCATAAACAAAATTTTGCTGGTCTCGTCTATGTATTCCTAGAACACTATAAATTTATGATTTCCTTTAAAAGCCATGTGAATGCTGAGAAGATGCTAAACTGCCAATGCAGGCGGTATCACTGCAGAAATATGAATTTAAATTGCTTGTGTAGTTGCTGTATAATGGTTTATAGTACGAACTGGATTCACCGCTACTTACATTCTTGAAATCGTATCAGGCTTCTCTAACAGCAGTCTATGCAACTATCTTGGGCTGAAGCACTCAATGGGGAAACCCCCCCACACTTATTTTCAACCTTGTGGGAAGTTTAAAAATGATTTACTCAGAGCCAAAAGAAAGTCCCACTGACTTAACTGCCAATATGAAAAATTCTCACCGATTTTCAGACAACCTAAGAAATTGGAGGGCTGTAAAGAACAGATGTCAGGGACATTTGGGTCAGTACTTTCCTCTCCTGAAGCTGTTTACTGTGTTTTCCCAAAAATACAACCTGGCCTGATAATAAGGCCATGCCACATTTTTCTAGTGGGCAAAAATATAAGCCTTCCCCTGCAAATAAGTCCCCTGGACCACCCCCCACCTCTGGCCAGGCAGAGCGCCGCTCACCAACCTGCAGTATCCCGAAGGTGCCAAGCCGCGGGAACTGGGGGGGAGGCAAAGGTGATCACATTGCTTGGCACCTTTGGGATACTGCTAGGTTGGTGAGCAGCGCTGTGCCCAGCTGAAGAGGGGGGTTGCCGGGCACAGCCTCAGGGGCGAATGGTTGTGTTGCACTGTCACAGTGGTGCAACACAACAGCCATGAAGCGACCACACTTACGAGCAGCCACCCAGCAAACCCTCTTTCCAGCCAGGCACAGTGCCATTCACTGACCTAGGGGTATTGCCAAGCCGCGGGAGTGCCTGTTTGCCGCCGCCTGGCTCCCGTGGCTTGGCGCCTTCGAAATGCCAGTGAATGGGGCTCTGCACAGATGGAGAGGGGGGTTGTGCGAGTAGCAGTTCCGCTCTTGCTCACGTGCCTCCCAGCCTCCCAGTGCCCTGGGCCAACTCTCCCTGCAGAGCCAGAGCACCTCTGCTGTCACCGCCATCACCACCGCCATCCCAGCATGGCTTTTCCGGCGGCTTCCAAACCGAGTCTTCCAGCAGTGGCCACTCTGGGTGTATGCTCTATGGTTGTGGGCCAGCTGCCAGCAGAGCGTTCAACCATAGAGCGTACAACTCTTTTTTGTGGGTAAAAAGAAAACAAGACCCTGTCTTATTTTCGGGGAAATACGGTAGGTTACCTGCTCTACAATCAGATGAGAGAGAAACTACACTCTTCACTAAAGAACTTCCTCAAACACTCAAATAATAAAGGTCCCATAAAGCAGGGGTCTCCAAACTGTGGTCTGTGGCCCACTACCGGACCGCGGGCTAATCGCCACTGGGCTGCATGAGAAGACGCCCCACTTGTGTGAACCTCTTCCTGGATCCACTCGTGCGAGTGTCCTCATGGACACTCATAGGCCCACTTGTGTGAGCCTTGTTGCGGGTGCTCATGGCCCCACTCATGCTCATGTTGATGCAAACATCGTATGCGCTCATGCATGCACACAGAGAAACACACGTGCTTGCCCCTCCCATGAAATCATCCCATCCTCTCTTACCCCCACCCCCGCCCCCGCCCCCAGTTCCAGGTTGCCAATCCGGTAAGGTTGAGGGAACTGTGCAATAAAGTATCTCTAGTATCAACTTCTACATAAATTTATTTTCATCTTAGAAATAAAAAGGCCCAGAATGCCCTTCTTCTAGCTAAAAGGTGCCATCTCACGGCAACAATTTCCACCATTATTTGAACCCAGAGCAAAGTGGAGCCTTACCCAGAGCGGCCACACTCCTAAAATTCTCCAGCATGACTTCCCCATGTAAGGCTCTCTGGCTGGGATCCAGCAGCGCCCACTCGTCCTCCGTGAAATACACAGCCACCTCCTCGAAGGACACCGAATCCTGAAAGTCAAATGAAACATTCCTTAACAGAGACTCCAAAATGTTCTCTCCCAGATTTTCCAACATCCTTAAAAATGAGTTTTGCAAGAGAGAAAATGCTCTTCTTTCGGACATGATACTAGGTTTTATGGCTGCCTTTCCAAAGATTTCATATTTCATATGTGCCACTTAATTTGGTTAGAATTTAACGTTAATGCTGTTCTCTTGCTATAAATAGACTTCTTTGGTTGTTTTGTGAGTACTCCCAACTAATATATTAATAGCTAGCTGATAACCCGGTATTTATTTTTCCAACCCTCCTTCCATGAACGTCTCCACAATTTCTAATGTTGGATTTTCCCCCTTACCAGAGGGAGCCCTCTTGTGGAGTACTTTGAAGCCATTACCATGGCAACTCCACAGTGCTCCAAATATCATCCAAAATTAAATCAGAGTTCAAGGCAGAGCTTTCCTCAAAGTTCCAATTTATTGTGAGAGGCATGTTGGCCCATCTGTGGAAAACCTGAATCTGAAAGCTTCCTGGGTTTCCCACCCAGTTGAAATGTCATGATCTTCCCCCCTCCCCACCACGCACCCACAAGTCCATCACATGGTCCAATCTTCCACTGCCATGTTGGCAGTTCCACCAATCCAGTTCCGGTCAGGTTCAGAGGTGCAGAGACAAAAGATGACCTTGGTTTCTAAAAAGGAATTTTTTATTTTGACAACAACACATTCTACTCCTTACTATTCCTCCTCCCAATTCCCCACTAATGAAACAGCATTGTAAAATAAGACAGAGTGTGGCAGGCCAAAGATCCTAAAAGGAACCGGCTGCAGGCCTGACATGCTGTACAGTTGAAGCCATTTTAAGGCAGTACAGTAGAAGCCGTTTTAAGAGACAACATGCCGTATACAGAACACACACCCCGAGGGGTGTCTTACCACTCTCCCCCGAATATTTTTTTCCAGAGAGTAAGTCATCTGTGTAGTGATTCCTCTTCTTGCACATGCCTAACATTGCGAGGCATTTGTTTTAAGGCACAAAACCCCCGCAAACACGCAAGTGATTCTATAAATATATTCACCTTCTAATATGTTGCGCTTCAACAGTGAACTTGGAAACAAGTGAACTTGGAAACCATGCCAATGAATCCTGATCTCAACACTTGACCTCCTTATCATGATCTGCATTGAGTCTCATGAAAGAACCAGATCCCGAAATATTTCCCTGTTAGGTTCCCCACCTGAGCTGTCGCTGATCCATGACGACGAGGATTTTGATCCTCCTCAGAGATGCTTCCCCAGAGCTGCTTCATAGAGGAGGGATGAGAGAGAGCTTCTCTTCCTTCAGGAGTTACCAAGACTGACTGCTTCAGAAGCTCCTGCATCTGAAATCAACAGCCGGGATCACAGAAAAATAATTAGATTAAAACAACTGAACATAGGATGAAGGGGATTCTTCTCTCTCTCCCCCACCCCAACTGGAGCATGTTATATAGCAATAGCACTTAAGGCTTATATACCGCTTCACAGTGCTTTACAGCCCTCTCTAAGCTGTTTACAGAGTCGCTATATTGCCCCCACAATCTGAGTCCTCATTTTGCTGAACTCGGAAGGACGGAAGGCTGAGTCACACCTTATATTCATAGTTGGAGATGCAAATTCCCTTAGGATATTTCTCCATGTTGTGGAATAATCTGGATGGGGGGAAAACATCACTCTGGGACTGAAAATCACGTGATGCCACAACGGTTATTAAGTGTGAAAAATGGTCGAAGTCACTTTTTCCCCAGTGCCGTTGTCACTTTGAATGGTCACTAAAGGAACTGTTGTTAAGTCGAGGGCTACCTATAATCTGGATGGGGAAAGAGGGAATTCTGGGACTGCAACTGGCGGGAAACCAGAGCGTTTTCTATTGATAGGACCTGCCTTTGAGCTAGGTAAGGGAACTGGATCTTCCTCCCAGGAGGGGATACCTGCTTCCCCTCCTGGACTGGAGGGGAGCTGAGCAGGAAGCCCGAGTTACAACTTGCATTTGGATATCCAAANACTTTATATCCCTGGGTGGAGATGCAAACTGCCCATGGGATTCTTTGGGGTTATTCCACCTGGAGAATAATCTGAAAGGGGAAATAGCACATTGGGTTTGAAAGTGGAGGGAAACCAAAGTCTCTTCTATGGTTACTGCCTGCATTTGTGTCTTCAAAACTGGACGGGGTTATATCCATAGTTGGAGATGTGAATTCCCTTGGGATTCCCCTCTTTCTCCTGTGGAATATCTGGACTGGGAAACAGGACTCTCCGACTGAAAGTGGAGGGAAACCAAAGTCTCTTCTATGGTTAATGCCTGCATTTGTGTCTTCAAAACTGGACGGGGTTATATCCATAGTTGGAGATGTGAATTCCCTTGGGATTCCCTTCTTTCTCCTGTGGAATATCTGGACTGGGAAACAGGACTCTCGGACTGAAAGTGGAGGGAAACTTGAAAGCTGGATTTTGAAGCTTGCTTTTAAATTAAACTCACCCCCCCTCCCTCTCTTCTTGATTTTAAGGTATTTCTGTAAGGGTCTGATGGTTGAACAGGGGTTTGGACTAGATGACCTCCAAGGTCCCTTCCAACTCTGTTCTGTGATTTTTCTATCGTTACAACTTGCATTTGGGTCTCCAAAGCTGGGCTGTATTATAACCAGAGTTGGGGATGGGAATTCCCTTCTTGCTGTGGGATAAACTGGACGGGGAAACAGGACTCTGGGACTGAAAGGGGAGGGAAACCAATGTCTCTTCTATTGCTACCTGCCACCTGCATTTGAGGCGGACCACTAGTTAAAGGAAACCACACCACGAGGAGATCCTCCGAGGGGGGGGGTAGGGATCAACTTACCTGCAGCCTCCGTTCCTGGGCACGAGGAGGGCTGAGCTGGAAGCCTCCGGCCAGGACCGTCGCAGCCCGGGAGCAGCTCTCCGCCATCTCCGGGGGCAGCCCGGCTAGGACCCGCTCCGGGATCCTCCTCCTCCTCTCGAGCCAGCCGGGGGCGAAGCTGCTGCAGGCGGCTGCAGAGCGCCCGGGGCCCCGCCGACGCCCGGCAGCGTAAAGCGGCGGAAGCTCTCGGCCTCGGCTTCGCTGCCGATTCCCCTCCCCGCCTTCCTACCCGAGAAAAGCGGGATCTCGCTTCGTCCCGTTCTGGATTCGGGGAAAGCGCAGCTGCCATTCACTCCGGGTCTCCGCCTAAGGGAAACCTGGGACTAGGGGCGAGAGAGAGCGCTCCTTCCTAGAGCGTCGACCCTCCCTCTCCTGCCCTCCTTTGAAATGTCCCCGGAGGCCGCCCCCTCCCTCCCTCCCTTCCTACCCCTTTCCTGCACAAGGCGACGGCTGTCAAAGCTCTCTCGCGCATGCTCCGTCCCACTCCCAAGGGAGGAAGCTAATGAGCTGTGTGTGTGTGTGGTTCCTGCGGCTTTGGAAGAAGCTCAAGCAGCCTCTGGCGAGGGGATCAGCATAGGACTAGAGCTTGGAGGTCTTCTAGTCCAGTGGTCTCCAACCTTGGCGACTTTAAGACCTGTGGACTTCAACTCCCAGAATTCAACCTCTGGGAGTTGAAGTCCACAG